TCTTTGATAACCTCCTGGTATGGTAAGATATTTCAGGTTTGTTTTGTAATTTGCCATATCTGGAATCACTCATTTTTCCAAAAAGCCATGGTTTCTTTTAGCATGAAATGGTATTTCAAGACTCTAATTTGGGCTTTCAAAATACTTAGACTGCCTTGATCATTGCTTCTAGGGGGAATTGTGTATTTGTGTGATGTGTATGTGTATAAACAAAAATTACCTCATGGAGTTTCAGTTTGGGACAATGAAAAATTCTGGTGATGAGTGGTGGTGATGGTTATTTAATATTAGTATGCTTAATGTCACTGATTATATTTAAAATGGTTAAAATGGCAAATTTTATGTATATTTTGTCATGATAAAAGAGGAGAAAATAGTCTGTTGAGTTTACTTTGATATTTCAGATTCAAATTTAGAATTGATAGTGGTTTTGTCTTCTGGCTTAAAGTTGTATTTTCACTTTTTTTTTTTTTTTGTAGAGACAGAGTCTCACTTTATCGTCCTCACAGCAACCTCCAGCTCCTGGGCTTAGGTGATTGTCCTGCCTCAGCCTCCTGAGTAGCTGGGACTACAGGCACCTGCCACAAATGCCCGGCTATTTTTTGCAGTTTGACCAGGGCTGGGGTTGAACCTGTCACCCTCGGTATATGGGGCTGGCACCTTACCCATTGAGCTACAGGCACCGGCCTTCCTATGTTTTTTTCTAAATTAGTTATTTGTGTGTGTTTCTGGGTATGTTGGGGGAAGATACGGGCAGATGCTAATACTTTGCTAGTGTTCCTGTGATCTTGCTGGGGCCTTCTGGGATAGTCCCCGATGGATTTTACTTTGTGTGTTGTATGGTTAAATTATGAATCTATTGCCTTACAGATTCTGAATTTAGCTCATGCTTAGAAGAATTTATTCACTTTATGATTAGAACATGTTTAGGTTTTTTTTGATCACTTCTACTTTCCTTGTTTGTTTTGTTTCCTTTCTGGCTTTTGCATCTTTGACCCCTCTGGAATTTTATTTTGATGTCGAGGATCTTGTTGGAAGTGATCTAGGTTTTTTATCCCTCAAAATACTTAGGCAGTTTTTCTAACACCAGTTACTAAATCTGTTTAGTACTTGTTTTTTGGTGCTGATTAAAAATGCCCCCATTTGTTTGAATTCAGAATTACTACATATATTTGTGTCTTTATTCCTGTACTTTGCCTGTCTAATTCTATAGCAGAAGAGCCACCATTTAATTATGGTTTTCTGATATTTTAATATTTAATAGGATGCATGGTATTTTTCTTTTCTTTTGTTTTGAGACAGAGTCTCATTTTCTTGCCCCCTGGTAGAGTGCCATGGTGTCATAGTTCACAGCAACCTCAGACTCTTGAGCTTAAGCGATCCTCTTGCCTCAGCCTCCCAAGTAGCTGGACTACAGGTGCCTGCCATAGCACCCGGCTATTTTTTTGTTGCAATTGTCATTTTTTAGCTGGTCCAGACCGGGTTTGAACCCACCAGCTTGGGTGTATGTGGCCGACGCCCTACCCACTGAGCTATGGGTGCCACCTGATAATATTTTTCTTATACTTCTTTTTCAAAATTCTTGTTATATTTACATGTTTGTCTTAACAGATGGACTTTATTGTGTTTTTATTATTTTTAGAGACAGAGTCTCTCTCTGTTGCCTGGGCTAGAGTGCCGTGGCATCAGCCTAACTCACAGCAACCTTAAATTCTTGGGCTCTTGTAATTAGGATTACAGGTGTGAGCCACCACACCCGGCCCTGGAGTCTCTCTCTGGCTCAGAGCTCAGGGTGGTCTTGAATTCTTGAGCTCAAGAGATCCTCCTGCCTCAGCCTTCCAGGGTGCTAGGATTAATGATGTGAGCCACTGTGCCTGGCCAATAGATGGACTTTAGAATAATTTTGCCAGGTTAAAGCTTTTTTTGATTATACTTGAACTTATATTTACAAACTAGTTTGGGGAGAATTGAGATCTCTATAGCACTGAGTCACCCTAACTAGGAATAAGCTATATATTTCCCTATTTTCTTGAATTATCTTTTACATCCCTTAATTGGGATTGTTTTGTAATATTTTTTTTAGGTCTTGACAGTCCTTGCTAAGAATAAATTTAGTTTTCATAAATTTCATAATGTTCTATATTTATAGAGTTCAAATTTCATAATGAACTATATTTATAGAGTTTGTATTGCTGTTAATAGTTGTCCTGTGATATATTCTTTTTTTTTTTTTTAAATTGAGGCAGGGTCTCACTTTGTCACCCTCTGTAGAGTGCTGTGGCCTCATAGCTCAAAGCAATCTCAAACTCTTGGGCTTAAGAGATTCTCTTGCTTCAGCCTCACTAGTAGCTGGGACTACGGGCCCCTGCCACAACCTCCGGCTAGTTGTTGTTATTGTTTAGCAGGCATGGGCCGGGTTTGAACCCATCAGCCCCCGGGCATGTGGTTGGCCCCCTAACTAATGAGCTATGGATGTCCCCTCTTGTGATATATTCTTACTAGTTATTATTTATAGGAAAGCTATTGTTTTGGTGAATGTTAATTCACCATATTTAATTCTAATATTTTTAATAGTTTTTCACCTGAGGTTTATGTATTTATATGTACCCAACTTTGTCATGTACAAATCATGATACTTTTACTACTTAGCTCAAATTTTACTTGATTGCATTGGCTTATACCTCCAGAACATTGTTATTCAGCATTAATAATAGTGGGTAACCTGTGCAAATATGTGTAGGCCTGACTTTAATGGGAGTGCTTCTGGAGTTTCTCTGGTGGAGCACAATGCAGGCTTTATAGAAAGTGTTGACATCTTTCACAATAATTATTTTTCTCTTTTGTCCTGTTAATATAATGAACTATATTTATAGAGTTTGTTTGTTTTTTACTTACAGAGTTCTTAATTTCTTTTCTTTTCTTTTCTTTTTTTTTTGAGACAGTCTGACTATGTTGCCCTCAGTAGAGTGCTATGGTGTCACAGCTCACAGCAACCTCAAACTTTTGGGCTTTTAAGTGATTTTCTTGCCTCAGCCTACCAAGTTGCTAGGACTACAGGCCCCTGTCACAACACCTGGCCATTTTTTGGTTGTAGTTGTCATTATTGTTTGGCAGACCTGGGCTGGAGTTAAACCTGCCAGCTCTAGTGTATGTGGCTGGTGCCTTAGCCGTTTGAGCTGCAGGCGCCAAGCCATATTTGTTGTGGTGGTAATTGTTAGGCAGGCCTGGGCTAGGTTTGAACCTGCTAGCCCCAGTGTATGTGGCTGGTGCCCTAGCCGCTGAGCTATAGGCGCCAAACCAGATTTCTTTGATTTTAAACTGTTTATGTATTCTTAAAATTAACATCAGTTGTTTACAATGTTTTCTTTAATGTGCTGAATTCTGTTTGCTTTAATTTAATCATAAGTTCAGTTCATCCCTTAAGGAAATTGGGTCACGAAGCTGATTGTAATCTTCACTGAGATACTTAGCTGTTTGAGGGGATCAGGAGGAGGGTTTGTGGAGTGATGGTGGCTGTGGCCTCATGGGACAGGGTGAGCTAGCACAGTTAATCTGTTACTGAATCAGTTAATTTCAGCATCCTGTCTGGTGGGGGCTCTCAGATCAGACTATTCCTTGCCTGTTACTCCTCTGACCTACTTAGATTGACCACCAGGTGCCTGGCAAAATGAAAATGATCCCCCCACCTTTCAGATTCAACTTTGTCACCATTCTGAGGCATGAAGATGACTCTAGTCTAAGTGCATCCTGCTTCTCAAAGGGCTCACCTCCTTAATGACTTCTGTGGCATTCTTCAAAACTCTCTTTATGCACTTGTGTTTTTGAGAGGACTAGATCCCATTCTTTGCCTTCACTTTGGTCTTAGGCTTTATTGTACATGGCACGTAGTTTTCCAGATTATAGATTGGGTTTGTGACTATTTCTCTGTTGAAACTAGAGTTTCCCTCTTTGTTCATTTTATTGGGTTTCTAGGAAGAGCATTAAGCAAGCACTCTCTCTCAGGAAAAAGCTCTACACAAGTAGAGGCAGGCTGAGCCAATCAGAATCTTACTTTGGGGTGTATACAGAAAATCAGGCAGGCAGTGGTGTGTATGTCCATACAGATTGTGAAACAGTGTCGGGCCAGTCATGGTTCGAAACCATGAATTTACAGCGGCAAAATTCTGCAATCCCTAAAATTCTCTTTAGGGATTTTTCTCTGGGGATAGGGGCAAAAGAAAAGATGCTCGCTAGTTGTAAGGATTCAGATTTGGCTGATAAGATGGGGCAAAGGATCAAACCTGTAGGCTAGCCAGAGATTGCTGAGTTCTAATTCTTGAGGTTTTGTTAGGAATAGAGAAAGAATGAAAGGATGGAATGCTGGTATGGAGAAAATTGACAGTTGTCGAGGAAGAGCTTTTAGAAACTTGAAGGCAGGAAGTAGTGGGAAAAAGTGACCGGGAGGTTGTGGTGAAAGAACAGGACACTACGCTGTTAAGATGCTGGAGGGAGAACAGTTGTGGATTACGTCAGGATTCTATGTGTGGCATGGCACAGCTAACGTGAGTTCTGCTGCTTTGTACAAAGCAGTTCTTGGCTCCGCGTGCATAGCACAGCGGTTACAGCGCCAGCCATGTACACCAAAGTTGGCAGGTTCCAACCCAGCCTGGGCCTGCTAAAATACAATGACAACTGCAACAAAAAAATAGCTGGGTGTTGTGGCGGGTACCTGTGGTCCCAGCTACTTGGAAGGCTAAGGTAAGAGAATCGCTTGAGCCCAAGAGTTTGAGGTTGCTGTGAGCTGTGACTCCGCAATACTCTATCGAGGGCTAATATAGTGGGACTCGGTCTCACAAGAAAAGAGCTGTTTGGGTTTTTTTTTTTTTTTTTTAAATCTTGAACAATGAAAAAAAAGTCAAGTAGTAAGTAGAGTGTTTATTTTTCTGAAATTATTTAAAAAAGGTTTACAGAGATGTGGATTTACATAACTTGGCGACAACGTTTTTAAAAAATGTACAGGCTATTTCATATTATTGCACTTACTCTTTAATATATAAGGCATTTTATTTTACATAAATAAAGGATAATGTATAATATCATACAACAGCTGTGGTGCCAATTGAGTCAACCATCAAATTCAATGAGATGTGTGTGGGAAGATGGAAACAAAACCCAACCTACTTTATTCTTCATGGTATATTCTTGCCACTATGATTTACATGTTATAACACATATTTATCCTCGTAGCTTGTTGTGAATAACTGGTTTAAAAAGAAAAAAAACCCGACAGTTTTAGTAGGACAATATCATTACTGTTCACTTCAGGAATTGTGGGAATATTAGACTAATTAGAAGTACTAGTCATGCCTTGAACACTGAAGACAAATAGCATTCTATCTCAGGGTCAAAGACAGTTTAGCTTTTGCTTCTTCCTTTAAATTTCAACTGTTGGCCAGGGAACCCTTCTGGCAAGATCTAGTGGAAAGGGCTGATGCTTTTAACAAGTGTAGTAAAGCCAGAGGTCTAGCCTTGGACTCCTGATACAAGGATTAAGGACTCTTAGAAGGAGACCATTCTGTTGCTCCACACTGCTCTGGAAATTTCCGTCCACATAAAACTGTGCATGTCTTTTTAGTGGGCATAGCTGTATGAGTGGAGGCAAACAGTAGTTTTCAGTGTTGTTGACTTCAAATAATCTCTTGTCACTTAGGCAAAAAAGCATAAACCATGAAACCGACCACAGAGACAAAAAAACTAGCATGCACCTTGCACTGACTTCCTATAGTAAGTATCCTACCTGTAATTGTAGTGAAAAGTAGAAGCTAAATCAAGCAGACCTTTCTAGCTAACTCTTGTACTACATTCTCCTTTGTATAATCTGTTGAAAAATAAGAAATAGGGGCTCAGCCAAGCCAGATATTTCAGTCCCATCTGAGGACTAGGTTGACCCCACAATGCTTAGTGGGATTGGTCACTCAGAAAATGATGTACAAAGGTTGATGGTTCAAGCACCTCCATGATCTGGGGGTCATAGCCACAGACTCAAGCTGTGGGTTATTTAAAGAAATATCTCCAACAAAAAAAAGTGTAATCATGCATGCAGGTATGACAGATGCAATCTCACCCGTATTCCCAGGACTCAGTGAGTTGGGTTGTAACTACATAGTTCTGCTCCTTTACTTCAACAGTCACTCACCCTGTTTCTCTCTTTTCCTCCTCATGACATTTTGATAAAGCTGATGAGGGTTTGTGATTTATCTAAGAAAATAACTTCATGACAGTGAACGGAATAGCCACTGTAAGGAAGAGAAGATGATCGTGCTTCAAAGAAGGAGCAGCCAGGGTGAGTTTCACAAGCAGCATGAGTCACAAAGTCTTCTGTAGGAAGACATTTTTGGCAAAGTGAGAATTTGGAAAACGAGCCGCAAAAACGCCAGTCACTGCACATCCAATCCTCAGAAATGTTATATTTCTTAAACATGTTGGGGAAGGGGGAAAATAACCAAACAAAAAGCCCCTTAAAATGATTATTTTAAGCTCCTCTATTCGGATTAATGCCATGTTTATAAATACAAGGATGATTAAAAAGATGATTTCTAAAATTTAATCGTTGGAGTACATAAAACATAGAAACGGAAACCCAGTGACTGATATTTTTGCCTGCTCTTGTGTTGACTAGTCTTGAATTCAAGCACTTATTCAAGACAAGTTTGAAAACTAGATATAAGGTGCTTTCAGATCTGGAACTTTCTGCTTCTAAGCAGCAAAGCTCACGGCTATTTAATACAGTTTATTAGAATTGCTATTCTGTAAAAACAGCCTAATGACTTTTACAGATAGGAAATGATCAGCATGTCATGGTGAGCGATAACCCATTGAATTCTGCATCCATACATTATACTCAAAAAATATTACTTTCTGTATTTTGCTTTTTCATTTTCAGACAATTCCTGAGCTCAGCCTAACAAGTAGGTCATAATTTTTCAGTCCCATTCTATTTTCAGGGTAATATATAATAGACCTGCAGCTCCTTCTTCCTTGAATGTGCCTAAAAGCACTGTCATTTACTTATAAAATCATATAAAACTAAATAATCCTTTTGGCTGTAACATTTGTGGTATCCTCAAACTTTGTTTCCTAATCACCAGGATTAGGTATAGCTGGGAGAGCTGTGTTTCAAATGAAAAAGGGCATGTCAGATCTCGTATCCCCACTGGCAAACATAAATGGTAGGGGACAGGCACTGGAACAAAAGGAATCCCTCGAGTGATCCAGGCAGAAGGCTTCCAGAGTTCAACTTCATTGCTGTTGCACATATAATAGGCCGGACTATATGTATAAATATAAGCTTGGGAATTTTCATAGTTCTTCTCTATACCAATATTAGTTTCAAGAACTCATTGTTTAAAGAATTTGTTCTGTTTTGCTAAAGTAAGAAGGTAACTGATAAAAGGCCTTGTTAAAATTCATGAAGAATTCCTATGCTTTCTAATTACTAACTGCACAGGTCCTTCTGGGACAGACTTCATAATATTCCAGGCATCGAAGTGCATGAGCCCAACCAAAGGTTTTCCATTAATAGCAAGAATTTCATCTCCAGCTTCTATTATTCCAGCTTGTTCAGCTGCACCACCTGTGAGAATAAATACAGAAAAATGAGTTGGCACTTTCACAGTATTAAAACAAATCCCGGGCAGAGTGGCTCACACCTGTAAGCCCAGCACTGAGGGAGGCTGAGGTAGGAGAATTGCTTGAGCTCAGGTGGTTGAAACTTGTCTGGGCTAGAGTGAGACCCTGATTCATTAAAAGAAAAAACCCAGCAGGGTACTGCACCTGTACTCCCAGTAAACTAAAAGCTTGAAAAATCTCTACTATATATGCCTATATTCTTAGGATTGGAAAATATAAGACAAACATATAGTGCAATTTTTTTTTTATGAATATAACTTTAACTCTCATCCTCTAAAACACAAGCAAGATAAAAATAAGCAACTGACAAGGGAAGATATTTTCAATATATTTAATTACAAATGAACAAGACTACTACAAAATACAGAGAATATTGGGCAAAGGAAATGAACAGCAAAAATCCAAATAGCCAATAAATACAGGACAACAGGTTCAACTTTGGTTAACACTCACTGGCTCATAAATCCAGGTTCTGAGAATTGATATTACAAAGTTTAACATAGTTTTGTATAGGTTATAGCAAATTTATGGGCTTCTGCTTGCATTTTTTTCCAGAAGCTTTTCATTTGCTTTCTCACACATCTAAAACAATCTTATTGCCCACCAAACAATAATGACAAATACATTTTGAAAATTAATGAATCAAATTAAAAAGTAGATTAAATCCATATGAAGATAGAATTTGTGAAAAAAGAAGAAACCATTTTTATGACATGGAGAAAGATAAAAATTACAGGAGAGCGACAAGGAGTGCCTGTAATCTCACCACTCTGGGAGGCCATGGTGGGTGGATTGCTTGAGCTCAGGAGTTTGAGACCAGCCTAAGCCAGAGTGAGACCTTGTCTCTAAAAATAGCTGGGCATGTGGGGGGGCGCCTGAAGCAAGAGAATCACTTGAGCCCAAGAGTTGGACGTTGCTGTGATGCCACAGTACTCTACTAAGGGTGACAAAGTGAGACTTTGTCTCAAAAAACTTTTTTTTAAAAAAAATTGTTTCATAGCTTCCATTTAAGTAAGCACTGCCAAAATTCTCCCTAGAGATGAAACAATATATGTTTGCACCAGAAAAAATGAGTTTTCCTTTGTCCACATTCTTGTCAACACGTTTTAGGAAACTTATTTTTGACCAATCTGATAAATTAAAAAAATGATCCCCAATAATTACAATTTTCATCCAATAACTAAGTTTGAGCATCTTCTTATATTTCTTGGCTATTTGGGTTTTGTCAATTTTTATTATTGCCTTTACTTAATTTTTGTTTGTTTGTTTGTTTTTGCAGTTTTTGGCCAGGACCGGCGCCCTACTCCTTGGAGCCACAGGTGCCGCCTGACCTAAATTTTTTTTTTTGAGACAGAACCTCAAGCTCACCCTGGGTAGAGTGTTGTGGCATCACAGCAACCTCTAACTCTTGGGCTCAAGTGATTCTCCTGCCACAGCGCCTGGCTATTTTTTGGTTGCAGCTGTTGTTGTTGTTTGGCGGCCCCGGGCTGGATTTGAACCGGCCAGCTCATGTGTATGTGGCTGGCCCTTTAGCCGCTTAAGCCATAGGTGCCGAGCCCCGACCTAAATATTTTCAATTGTCTTTTTCTTACTGGATTATAGTTAAATACTCCAGATTTTAACTCTTTGTTGATCAAGTATCTTCTAATCAGTGGCTTATATTTTTATACTAATAATTTTATTTGCCATATAGTAAACATTCAATGTTTTTTAAGGATGTGTTTTTCTGTTACATTTAAGAAACTTAAATTTTCCTGTGATATTTAAAAATAAGTTATTGATGACATATAGGAAATTCTCTGAATTCATCACGCTTGGTCAACTATTTCTCTCTTACCTTTTTGGCAGCTTATTTGGTACAATGATGAGAAACAGAAACCGTCCAAACCTATAACTATACCCATGTACACTGCTGCCTCATACAGGAGCTTAAAACCAACCATGTTCTAGCTTTTTCATGGATAAAATCCCTGACCTTCAGGGATATTGATATTTAATTTTTTTATTATTCAGAATTAGCCTCCTACAAGAAATCAGTATTGCTGTATTTCTTTCTGCTACTTGAACTAAAAGGCACAGGAAAACAAAATGAATGAAAAACTTACCCCCATGAAATTTGTAAGTATATGAAATCTTTGCATAAGCGCTAAATCTGTACAAAGTAACTAGATTTACTGGTCTCCTAAAAGTGGAGGTAGGGATCTACCTTATAATGTTCCACATCATCTGGATCCCTTTTAATAAGAACAAAACCACAGCCTTGCCCTCAAGAGCATCTCAACACTAGGCTAGTCTCTGAGACTGGTGCTTTTTTCTTTCCTTTCCATTTCCAGAGCAGTGGTCATGGCTTTCTGACCAGTTGCTAGTGACAGGGCCAGGTAGTTGTCCAGGACATCCTGTCTCTGCTTTGCTGGAGGACATTGATTTTCTCCACTGTAGTGGCAGAATTATAGCCAGATTCCTCTAACCAGGCGGCCTCAGCCCATCTCACCTGAAGCACTACGCCAGCTGGCCTTTGGCTTCTAGGACCTGGACACTTTTTTGGGCTGCCTGGCCTGCGCTGGCTATGTGTCCTGTGACTGGCCATGGCAGCATCAACTCCATCTCCCTACATGAATATCTTAAAATACCTCCAAATGTAGCTGTAATTCTTATATGATAGTTTAGCTAGGTAGAGTGTTTTACGCTGACTTGAGAGACTTTCTTTCAATTCCGTGAAGACATGTTCTGTCAGCTTAGGCTTTCCTGTAGTGCCATCTGAACAATCAGTGAATTTTTTGTTAGCTTTTTATTTTTAATTATTTGAGATAGAATCTCACTTTGTTGCCCTTGGTAGAGTGCCGTGTGTCACAGCTTATAGCAACTTTAAACTCCTGGGCTGAAGTGATCCCCTGGCCTCTGTTTTTAGTAGAGACGGGGTTTCGATTTTGCTTAGGCTGGTCTTGAAGCAATTCACCTGCCTCGGCCTCCCAGAGTGCTAGGATTACAGGTGTGAGCCACCGCACCTGGCCCTGTTAGCTTTTTAGATTTCCTTATTATTGATATTCTGAAACTTTATCATGATATATCAAAAGTTTGGATTTTTATAAAATTCAGCCTATTTTACCCTTGATTAGATTTTTCAGTTCTGAAAAATTCTGACTTCTCATTTCTCCAAATATTTCCTTTTTCTTATTGTTTTTTTCCTTCTCGCACTCCTTATCTTTCTCCATGTCATAAAAAATGTTTTTTCACAAATTTTGTCTTCATATGGATTTAATCTACTTTTTAATTTGATTCATTAATTTTTAAAATGTATTTGATTCCATTTTCACTAATTGGGGGTATGTGTATACATTTTTTTCCCTAGGAAGCAGGGACTTGCTATATTGCAAGAAAAAACATTCAATTCCTGGGCTCAGGTGATCCTCCTGCCTCCCCAGTAGTCCCAAGCTTAATTTTCTTTAACATATCTGCATATCCTTTTAAACATCCTCTTGGACTTGTTTCACTGATAATATTCTTGCCTTATTTTTTATGGGGTCTGCTGGCAGTGCATGTCCTTCTGCACCCAGTGCCTGTATCTGGCTCTCATAAGTGCTCTTACAGTTGGGCTACTTCACACTCGCCTGAGCTTGGCTTCCTCTCTTCTGCTCTGTCAACTTGACCAGTTAAGTTGATGAATCTTAGTTCTTCTCTCTACCCTGGCATTGTAAGTTCAGACCTCATATAGGCAGAGGATTTATGCCTGTCCTCTGCTTGCCCTGGGGGGCCATGAGCAAACAGCCTGTTCCTGGCTGTCACCAGGTAAGCGAAGCCAAGAGCAAATCACAGTGCTCTGTATCACAAGGTGCCTGGTTTCATCACCCCCAGGGTGCTTAGCTCTGGGGGGTACTCTAATGCACACTGATTTCTTTCTTTTTTTTTTTTTTTTTTTTTTTGAGACAGAGCCTCAAGCTGTCCCCCTGGGTAGAGTGCCGTGGCATTACAGCTCACAGCAACCTCCAACTCCTGGGCTCAAGCGAGTCTCCTGCCTCCGCCTCCCAAGTAGCTGGGACCACAGGCGCCCGCCACAACGCCCGGCTATTTTTTGGTTGCAGCCGTCATTGTTGTTTGGCGGGTCCAGGCTGGGGATTTGAACCCGCCACCTTAGGTGTACGTGGCTGGCGCCTTAGCCGGTTGAGCTATAGGCGCCGAGCCTGCACACTGATTTCTTGCTCTGCTTACCACTAGGTTCTTTATTTTCATTTCTAATTCATGGAGATTTTTTCCCCCAGCACAACTCCATTTAACCAAACATTTGTTTTACCTATTAGTACCATGTGTGAGGCGTGGAGCGAAACTTTGACATTGTTATATAATACAGAAATAACTTGCATACCACAAGGTGGTCATTAAAAAGAAAAGCAAGCCTTAGCTAAGAAGAATTGACTTCATTACTTTTGGACCTACTTATTCTGTTACATAAAGACCAGAAACCCAGGTAGGGAATGTGTCATTATTGTATATTAATGTTGTGGGTGCAATTGAATTGTTAAGAATCTGTATAATTGTACCAATTGTATTAACATAAGATTTTGAAGACTTCCCAGGATCATAAGATGAATTGTTCAAGTTGATGAACAGACTTACACTTACCAACCATTTCAAAAGTATCTACTTTCTTGCTGCCCTGAGGTACCTCCTTAACTCCTCTGTGGCTCAGTTTCTTCTTTTGTAAATAGGCACGATAATGGTACCCACCCGATAGGACAGTATGAGTTAATATGTAAAAACTGCAAAAAACTAGAGGACTGACCAACAGTGAACTGTCTTAAAGCTGCTAAAAATGTTTTAAATTTTTAAAAATACATTTGATTTCCAAATGGAAGATGCTGAGTTTTCTCGGACATTACCTTTGTACACACTTTTGATGACCAGAGGCCCGTCTCCAGACACAGATGATTTTCCCCCATCCAGACTCAATCCCAGCCCAGCTGAGGTCTTCAGCACTTCAACACAGAGGGCATCACGTGCAGCCGTGCTTCTCCCTGTGGCGGTGGTATTCGTCAAGATCAGAACGACAGGGCTGTGCATCACTCATGCACCATGTACTCCTGGCCCCCTCAAGTCCCATAGACTTCGCAGTGCTCTAATAACATTTGATCCCAGACTAAGGGTTGGTCTGCCCTCCTGGCTGTGTTCCTGCTGTACTTGGGTCCTTTGTTCTGTGCACTGTCTGCAAGCATTGGAGAGGGCTTTTATGCCTTGCACAAAACCAATTGCTCTGGTTAAGCCATGTGCTTGTCTGGCAGTACATGTCTTAGTAAAGACTGAAGTCACATATGGGGAATCAAATTTGATTTCCCACCAACCCTGGCTACCGATGCCAGGGAAGTTTCACCCTTTGGTCCTAAAGGTCAGCCGCCCCAAAATGCCCAGCCTCATGTGAGACTTAAAATTGACTCCAGAGTTCCCCAGGAGGCTGCAAACTTTCTGCCTCCTCCCTCCCACCACTCATGTTCCTAGGAGAGGGTGTCTAGGTTTGCCTGTCCTCATGCACACACAGGCTGCTCCATAGCAACTGACTGGCATGTGCTGCGTGCTAGTCTAGTGAGGCTGGCTGGGGTCTGAGTAGGGGTCGTAAATTATTTCCCTTCCTCAGGATGTCAGAGCTAAGTGCAAAGGCACACTTAGTTGATTGGTGGGTGGAGGAAGGGCCACAGAGGGATTAAACTGTCCACTTACTGTATTCATTTGGGCTGAGGCCCAGCTAGCACCATCACCTCTGCACATAAAGGCCAGTCCATTGTTGTGGTTTAAAGAAGGCCACTCCACATGGTCTGAAGGATATTTCCTAACACTGGGAGCAGCATGTTTTGCTGTTGAACAGGAAAACAGGCCTATTACTGTGGCTCTCTGGCTGCATACTGGAATTGGCTGGGGAACATTAAAAAAATACTGGGGCCTGTTCCCCATGCCTCGGCATTTTTTTCTTTGAGACAGGGTCTTACTCTATAGCACAGGCTAGTGTGCAGTGTTATCATTCTAGCTCATTGCAGTTGCCAACTCCTGGGTTCAAGTAATCATCCTGCCTCAGTCTCCTCAGTAGTTGCTCCTACAGGCATGCGCTACCACACCCAGCTGTTTTTTTTTTTTTTTTTTTTTTTTTTTGTGGAGATGGGGTCTCTTGTTCAGGCTTGAACTCCAGACCTCAAACAACCCTGCTGCCTCACCTCACAAAAGTGTTAGCATTATAGGTGGGAGCCTCTGCGCCAGGCCACTGCTCAGCATTTCTGGTTTAATTCAGCTGGGGGAATTTCCTGAGCATCAGGATTTTAACAAAAAACTTTCCAGGTGCCTCCAATGTCAGCTTACTGCACCAGGCCCCAAGTCAGACACTCAGGATATGGTAAGAAATAATTGCAAAGGACCAGGGAGACTAAACTAGGAATATGGAATAGGAACAAGTTTAGGAATAGAAGCAGGAATACATTTAAGCCCTCAAGGTGCTCACAGTTTGATAACTCTACAGGCTCTAGTTCAAGGCCAGATTCCCTGGAGGTGCTAGAGGCATACATAATGATTACCAATGATGGAGAACCTTCCCTATCAGAGTTCACAAGGCTTAAAAAAACTCTGCAAGCTGTTAGTCCTATGTGCCAAGTGGTGTCCTTTGACAGTTTTAAGTTTCCAGGATCCTACTGAAAATCCACCAGGCGGTCCAGGCAGCACTGGGGCAACAGCCAGCATGGGGAGGTCTGATGATTTAGGGCTTTAGCTCTCTAGGAGAGACAGTAGAGCAAAAGGAAGGCTGCAGACACCAATGCAGGGGCATCGGACTGGCCTGTGCATTGTGTGAGCTCTGTATTGAAGGTGCTCATCTTTGAGAATATAAGAAGTATTTCTCATTCAATGGAATCAGAGCCATTTTCAGCAAAGCCTTGTGGCAAAGGAATTCAGCTAGCTGCCGACCTTATCAGGGAGAGATGCTGAGAAGGAAAGGCTCCTCCCAGAAGGCAGTGCTCCCACCTGAACTTCTGTAGACTCTTTGTCATATTGACTGAAAGAGAGACATGGCTCCTGAGCACCCTGGCAGGACACCCCAGAGCCCTGCAGCTCTTACCTGAGGGCAGACATCAGCCTGCAGAAACAGATGCCGTGCTTAGCTCCGAGCCCCTGAGGGTGGGGGGCACCAGGAAATCTGTTTCTGAACCTCTTCTAGGGAGCTTTTCATGCTTGATTAAGGCTGCAGTCTCTGTTTTGTTCTAAAACAGGATAGACTACCAACTTTGATATTTTCCCAAGGGCAATTCTTGGTTTAAGAATTTCTCTGCAACATTGACTCCCCCAATGCAGGAATTTCCCATTCTACTTGCCAGTCCTCATGAGGAGGGAAACTAAAGGGACAGGGGCTCCTCCTCAGGGCACTTAAGATTGCCATGTGACAGCTTCTCTAAGTCTTCAGCAGTGTGGCTAGAACTAATAATTGTAGCACTGCTTATGCAAGAACCATCCTTGACATGCTAGACTTTGCTACCTCTAGTTTTGGGGATACAGATTTTCCTGTACATTCAACCAATCTGCCATTTCTGCTGCCTGCTGAGCTAGTATCTTACCAATGCTGGGCTCCAGAGGGATGATCTTTCTGGACAGCAGGCCTTTCCCATTGGTCTTGGGAGGCTCCTGCCTGGCAGAGTGCCTGGGCTGATCAGTACCTTTCCTGATGATCACGAGGGCATCTTTGTACAGCTGTGCCTGATGTAGAACCTTCTGGACATCCCCCTGGGCTAAGCCGGCCAGTGAGGTGCCATTGACTGACAGAAGGAAATCTCCTCGGCTCATGGTCCCTTCCTGAGAAGCTGCCCCCTGAGAAAACACCCTGTGGACCTGGGACAAAGAAGGAAAAAGGGAACAAAAGCCAGATCCATTTATGACATCCAGTCAAAGTAAGGGAAACTGCAAATCTGTAATAAAGGAACTTTATAATGATAAATTTTCTAAATCACACAGGTGGTTGATCAGAAAACATATTCAATGTGAGGGATAGAACTGCAGATACCAATGTCCGTGTCTACACACCAGTTTACCCAACTTTTGGTGGGTGTCTAATACGTGTTTGGCATCCAGAGACCACCCTAGGCTTGTCCAGAGCAGGTAACCTCCTTAGTGATCCCAAAGGTCTCTGAGTGATGTAAAATTTTAAGTTACTACTCTTGACAAAGAAGTAATTTTATAAGCAAATGCAACTTGGGTCATTTGATTCTAATGTTTTTCTAGTGCTTAAAAAAAATTATTTCAGCAGATAATAAAGATGCAGAGAATTGTGTTCAAAGGTGCTGGGACTTGGCCAACACATGACGTCAGCTCTGTGTTGAAGATGCTGATCTTTGTCGATGAAAATGTTACATACTACTCTTCCCGCTTTTTCTGTTGGTAGCAGGGAACAAAACCCAGCAATCTTTGAACCTACTGACTAGAATTTGTGTCCTCATTAAATTATGGACTTCTCAAGGAGGGATTTTCCTAAAAGCCCAATAGCATCGCCACTTACCATGACTGATTTGGGCTCCATGTCTGCCCCTCCTGCCACACTGAATCCCAGACCTGAGCCTTCTTTTCTAGTCAGCACTATGAAGCAAACATCTTCTTTATGCTAATGAAAAGCAACAGAAAAAGATCACATCACTTGTGCCCAGATCCTCCTCAAGTGTACCCATCATCACCAACTGGAGGGACGCACAGGCTGTCCCAAGCGTAAGACCGCCCCATCTCCACCACGCGAGCGCCTGCTGGGTGGCCTACATGGCAAATTCTGAGGACCCGTCCTGCATCTGTGGAAGCTCAGGGAAGGTGGACGTGAATGTGGATGGGGGAACAGCGTAGAATTTCTGAGTCTTCAAGCCAGATTGCGTCTTCCCCAATTTGATCACAGCATATAATTTGACCATGACACAAATTCTTTATAATTGTTCAAATCTACAAATTATCATAGCTAGTTCTAGCAACAGCAAAAAGACAAGTGCCAGGAGGCAGGAGAAGGCTATGTGTTTTATACACCATCCTCCCCATATTCAGGTCATTGGATTTCAGGCACAGTTAACTGCCATCATAAAATATAAAGTATTTAAAAACTAATGGTCAACTCACAAAGAGACTAAAATATTCTTGGTGGCCTAGGGTTAAGTAATAAATGACTGTTACTATGTTTTGCATATTAATCAAACAATATCTTGAAATAAAATACTTTCAAATAAAGAATTAGCTGGGCTAACATATCCTAACTTTTGACTTCCTTCACTCATATTCTAGATATGATTCAGCAATGCTGTAAAGATCTGCACTGCTAGGCTGCACGTGAAGTGATTGAAGGTGCCCTCAAAAAGAATTTCACGATAATTCTTAATGATTGCCTTGATGAGAGAAAGTGAAAATGATGATAGAGAAAACTACCTCTAATGTGCTGGGGAGGGAACACATTAAAAAGTATTTAGTTTCAGTAGTAAATCATGAGGACTAACTCCAAGCATTTCATACCTCTCTACAGGGGGTATGAACCCAAGCCCTATAGGCTGATAGGAGAATGTCCTACAGAACTTCTTTGAGGGGGTGGTGGGATGTTGACTTTGTGGGCACCATCAACTGTGCTCAGACACAGGCCAGGGAAGGATGATGACTGCGGTTTCTAAACAAAAACAGGGCAAGTGGCCCAGCACATGATCTTTGTTCAGCTTTGGGGAGGTGCACTGATGCTGTAAGTATGAATATTCTCAGTTATTTGATGTCTTATTGGAGCCTAAAGACAGAGTACTTGAAAATGGGAGTCTCCTATATTTGAGGACAAATTATCATCAAATTTTAATTTATTCACTTTTTTTTTTTAAACCAGCGGTGTTTGAGAACACCGGTATGCTAAAAGCTTACCATCAGGCCAGATTTTCTCTGAGAAGCTTAGACCAGCACCTGGAAAGCCAGATCAACCATCAAGACCTCTTCAAGGTTTGGGTGTGTCGAAGGCAAAAGGCTAGCGCTTGTTTCTGCTCTCTGATCTCTCACCCCACCAACAGAAGGACACAGGAAGTGGTTTTGTTCAGTTCTGTTTTTACCACCTATACACCGTACTCACTGGCAAAAGGCAAGGTAGGAAAGTTCTGGACTGAGGATACCAGAGTAAGACTATCTCTGCTTACTGTTCCTTTCTGATGCCCACTGAAGACACTAAGAAAGGGAAAGGAAAGCTGCGTTCTGATTAAAGTAGGAATGACCTTCAACACTGAACCACCCCAGTTGCCTGTTGTGAGTTTGACATGAGGGAGGTGAGGGGGCCCTAGAAGACGTCCTCAACAGTAGCACTTAGCATCCCGTCTACTTTGTTTGAGGTCTTAGAAAATGTGCATCTTGTTTATAAGGCTGGTGGACACTGTCCGGTTCTCTTATGTTACTTTTTTTTTCTGAGACTGAATCTTGCTCTGTTGCCCCAGGTAGAGTGCCCGGCACCGTCACAGCTCACTGCAACCTCAAATTCCTGGGTTCCAGTGATCTTCCTGCATTAGCCTCCTGAGTTGCTGGGACTACAGGCACCCCCCACAATAGCCAGCAATTTTTTTCCCCCTATTTTTAGTAGAGAGGGGTCTTGCTCTTGTTTAGGCTGGTTTTTTTTGAGAGTCTTACTTTGTTGCCCTTTGTAGAGTGCTGTGGCATCATAGCTCACAGCAGCCTCAAAGTCTTGGGTTCAAGTGATTCTGTTGCCTCAGCCTTCTGAGTAGCTGGGACTACAGGTCCCCACCACATCACCCAGCTGTTTTGGAGACAGGGTCTTGTTCTTGCTCAGGCTGGTCTCCAACCTGGAAGCACAGGCAAGCTACCCACCTCAGCCTCCCAGAGTGCTAGGATTACAGGTGTGAGCCACCACACCTGGCCTCCTCAGGCTGGTCTTGAACTTCTGAGCTCAAGTGATCCTCCTGGCCATCCAGATGTTAGGATTACAGGCGTGAGCCACTGTGCCCACTATCCTTTTACATTTTATCTAATACTGTTAAATGTCTGTAGCAAAGGGGGCCTGGCAAAGTGTGACCCAACCTGAGCCACTTTGGCTGGCAATCCCAGAGTGAAGCCTCCTTACTACTTACTTATTATAAAAGTATAAAGAGGAAGGGAGACGAGGAGTTCTTCCCTTTACTGAAAAGTGAAAAATGCTTCACATCTCAGGCGTTTCTTAACTGCATAGATCCAAGCCAGTTGGCTGAGAATCAGAAGGGAATGGACCCTAAACCACTCTATCTCCTCACCATGGATTTTAAGGCCGATCCCTAGCTGACAAACTTTATAGCCACGCTGGGTGGTACAGTAGAAGCTCCATAGTCAACCACCTCCCTACATTAACCATCTCCTTAAGGTGACCTAATTTTCACGGACCAGACGTGGACCACACGTACGTATCAGTACAGTCGGCCTACTTCCTTGTGTTCATCACCTCTGTGTGTCGACCAGTTTGTCACAATACCTTGGGTGGTTAACTTACAGAGGTTCCCCTGTGTTTGAATTTCTGGAACAGTGTTCTTGGATAACATTAGTGACCCAGGTATGTCACCACTAAAGAAAAGTTTTTTTATATTTACCTTTTCCTCTAAATAGAAAAATACTTATTAGGGTTCAAATATTTATGAATAGTCCTAAGAAATCAGTTTTGTTCCTCTGAAGAGTGTCCCAGCTGCAAACCCATGGTTTTACATTATTGATGTTTACTGTTATAGCTGATTTACTTAAAGATGTAACTTGTAATTACTAGTTAGCTCTTTTGTCTTGTGTTCTGGGGCTCAGATCCTCTTACACAGTTGGCCCTTGAACAACTTGGGTTTGAGCTATCAGGGTCATATGTGGCATTTTTTTCTGCCTCTGCCACCCCCAAGACAGCAAGACAAAACTCCTCTTCCTCATCGCTATGAAGATAACAAAGATGAAGATCTGTATGATGCTCCACTTCTACTAATGAACAGTAAATGTATTTTCTTTATGATTTTTTAAAATACTATTTTCTAGTCTCTTAGCTTATGTTATTATAAGAATATAGTACATAATACAGAAAATGTGTTAATTAATGTCTGTGTTATTGGTAAGGCTTCTGGTCAGCACTAGGCTATTAGTAGTTAGGTTTTTGGGGAGTCAAAAGTTACATGCAGATTTTTGACTATGAGGAGGTCAGCATCCTTAATTCCCATGTGGTCCAAGAGTCGACCATGCTTACAGGGCAAGGGTAGGTTTCAGCAATGTAACTTTTCTTTTGCCAGCAGGTGGCTCTCTTGACTAGTTTCTATCCCCACTTCAATGGGCAGAGGTACTTGTCATTTTTCAATGTTTCCAACATGCCTAGTTCTGCTTTGAGGACTTTCTGCAGACAAATGCCAAATGCAGGAGTGGAATGGATGGTAACTAGTTGCTACTGGGGAATTAAAACAGTAATGACACAAACCTGACTGCTGAGCATTTAAAACAAGGTCTAGCTTCTAGAGCCAGCTGGTAGCTAGTGAGGTCAGACCACATCATAAAAGTCACAATCGAGGCTCGGCCCCCATAGTTCAGTGAATAGGGTACCAGCCGCACCATATACACTGAGGCTGGCGGGTTCCAACCAGGCCTAGGCCTGATACACAACAATGACAACTGCAACCAAAAAATAAACGAGCATTGAGACAGGCACCTGTAGTCCTAGCTATTCTGGAGGCTGAGGCAAGAGTTTGAGGTTGCTGTGAGCTCTGATGCTATGGCCATCTACTGAGGGTGACATAATGAGACTCTGTCTCAAAAAAAAAAAATTACGATCCAACATGTCCTCTCTGGGATGTTGGGGGGCTCTCCTTGGCTGTCTGAGCTGGTGGCACACACCCAGGCACTAACACTGCTCTGAATTCATCTTCCTGTGTTTTCTGCATTTCACTCACCTCTGATTGTGCTTTCGCCTCCTGAATGAGAGTCAGGACAGTAGATTTTGATCCCACTGACGATAAAACAGATTGTAATCTTTGCTGTTCCCCCGCCGAGATTATAAGTTGATCCAAACTAAATAACAGAAATACATTGGAAAAACATTAAAGAAGAAAACAATTTCTCCAGTTCTCTAGTGAGCTAGGCTGAGGCCATAGCATTCTACCTGGCAGGACACAGAAAGACAGTTTAAAAAAAAAAAGGCTAAATAGTAAATAAATAACAAATGGGGCTGATGCAATGTCGGGTCCTGGTATAGAATTTATTTAGCAAAATTTGAATCAAGTCTGTAGTTGGTAGTATCATCCCAATGTTAATGTCTTTTGACAATGGACTGTGGTTATGTAAGATGTTAACACTGTAAACAGTTAACACTGTTGCCGTTTTTCTATATGTCTAAAATTATTCCAAATTAAAACAAGTTCATTTTTATTTATTTTTATTTTTTTAAGACAGTCTCACTTTATCACCCTTGGTGATAAAGCGATTCTCTTGCTTCAGCCTCCCAAGTATCTGGGAATACAGGCAGCCGCCACAAGGCCTGGCTATTCTTAGAGACAAGGTTTTGCTCTGGCTCAGGCCGGTCTTAAACCCATGAGCTCAGGCAGTCCATCCACCTCAGCCTCTCAGAGTGCTAGGATTACAGGTGTGAGCTACCGCTTCTGGCCCTAAAACAAGTTTATGAAGTAAAAGTAGGGGCAGATACTCACTTAACTGACCAGCTTTTTCCAGAGAGCAGATCCTGGGCATTTTCGCCCACCTCATTGGCTGAACTGGGTGTCCCAGGCTCACTGGTTTTAGGGCTGCTTCCTGCAGGACAGGCATTATTCCCACCCTTCTCAGGACACAAAAGGCCTCCAGCCAGGGAGCCAGATGACCTTCTGGGGACGATCTCCAGCTCAGTTTTGAAGAGCACAGCACTGGGCCCTGCTGAGTAGTCCTCACTGCACAGCTTGTCAAGGTCGGGCATGCTCAAGGCTCTCAGTTCCTGGAGCTTGGAGCGAGACACGGGTGAGGGCTGGGCGTGGCGCACGGAGGACTTGTTCCTCTTGGCAGGAGAGGCTGGGGTTACTGTTGGGGTGGGAATTCCTGAAGGACCAAGGAATTTCTTTTGCTCAGATCCAGGACCCTTGTTATTGGTCTCTGGCGGATTCTGTCGGGAGAAGGTCAGTGTCATGCTGGATGGGGACTTGGTCATCTGAGGGAGAAGGGCGCTGGTTTCACTTTGGCTTTCACTGCAGGAACTTAAGCTGCGTCTCAGCGACCTTGCCGCTGCGTCCCCATGGTGGCCGAGGCTGCTTGAGGCAATGCTGCCGGAAGACCGTCGCCCGACAGGAGGCTTGGAGCTCACCGACAAGAAAGGGGAAGCCCCAGACTTGGCTGCAGGCCGGTCAGAATGGGCCAAATTCTCAAAAGACTTGATCCGCTGCTTCACAGAGAAAAATGAGGTAGATTCATGAGGCCAGTTCTGCTCATAGCAGTAATGTCTTCTGGTGACTTTGATTTTGTCTGTGACTAGGCAGCTCGTCTCCTGGACTGAAACGGTATCCCCTTCATCTGCTACTGGAAGGATCCTCGATGTTTCCTGCAGGGGCTTAACACTATATACACCCTGTCCGTTAACCAGGCCAACAACACCCCCTTTGGGGGCATTTGCCTCGGGGAGACCACCACCTGTCACAGGAATTTGACTGTCCCGGGCAGAGCGACCCGGGTTGTGTGGGGACTGACCCTCCCGTCCAAAATGGCTTAAGAACTGGGTTGGCATGGAGTAGGTCCTGGTTGCTGGCCTTGGTGTGAAGTATGGGTGGTCCTCCTCCACGGGTGTGCAGTTCTTGGGTACCCCTAGGGAGGCTGCCATCTGGCTTGCTTTTCCCTGGGAGGAATCTCCTTTTTTAGCAGGCAGCTGGGGGGAGGAAGAGGCGGCCAATTTCGCCATGCTGAATGGTCGGTGCATTTCTGGTTCCACTTGGAAGGCAGGAGATGTGAGCGAGGATGGATGGTTTGGGGATGATTCCGCTGATTGGTGACAGAGTCTGAGTTCACTCTTCTCCTGACAGTTGTTCTGGGCCGAGGCCCCTCCCCATCTGTCACTTTCAGCTGGCTTGTCACCACGTGCATTCTTTGGCATTCTTTCAGAAGCAGTCTCAACTCTGGTCAGCTGGTTTGTTCTTTCCAGGGGATCACTAGCAACTGTGCTGCTTCCCTTTTCGCCAGGCAGCCTGGGCTGGGCCACTTCTGATGCTGCTGACACAGCGTGGCTGGTGGAGCTGGTGGAGCTGCTGGAGCGAGGCTCGCTCTGCCTGTTCCCTGCTGTGGACATGCTCCTGGGAGCTGCGGGGCTCACTGGGCCTGAGTTGGTGCAGGGCACCTTGCCCTCAGGTCCACACTTGGGACATCTGGGGGCAGGTGGGCAGCCTCTGTGGGGCTCAGAGTGGACAGCTGTGTGAGACCTACTGCAGGCACCCTGCTCAGGAAGAGTCTTGGAGGTGGTCAGGGGTGAAATGAAAGTCCTGATGCTGGTGTCTGACGCTGAGGGCTTCAGGGACCCAGAGGCAGCCAGAGCCGGCTTGCTCTCCAGCACACACTGGGGAGACCTGGGGCTGGCTGCAGCTTTCTCATGGTCAGCCAAGTGGAACAGCTGTGACGCTCCCTTAAAGAGCGTCTTGTGGGAGGCCTGGGGTGAAGTGAGGGGCTTCCTGTGGTCCAGCCCTGTAGTCCTCCCTGTGCTGGCAGCAGAGGCCTCGGAGCTAACTCTGCCTTTGCTCTTAATGCTAAGTCTCTTTAGCTTAGGGCTGCACTTGGGTTTCTGGCAGTTACTCAGCAGTGTTTCCACCGGACTTTTCTTAGACAGGTCTTTAATTTCCAGGTTCACTTTTGGCTGAGGAGGGCTGTGCAGCATGGGGACCCCCTTTGTGTGGCTTGAGCTCCACAGCTGATTTTTGCAGTCGGGACTCCTGGCTGGTGTCATGGACTGTTCCTTCTCAGCTTTGCTCTGCACGTGCGCACCTTGGTTACTTTTATTTATTTCTTTAAACCAGGCCATGATGGGCCTCCTGGCGACCACTTTTGGCTTCTGTAGTACATCATCTAGGTCTTGGCTTTCAGAGATGTGCAGGTTTGCCAAAACAGATTCTCCTATCTTGGGGACATTAGCACCTAAGAAGGATGGGTGGATGGTTGCATCACTGTTTGTTTCTTGTTTATTTAGGGTTTTGCCATTCAGCATGTCATGTTCTAAACCATTTACCATGTTAGGGGAGCTGAGAGTGAGCAGGGGTTTGTGGAAGTGCGCGGTGACATTAGAAGGCCAAGTGTTTTCCACAGCTGAGCCAGCGCTGGTGGTGTCCACAGTTCCTGCTACACTCAAGGCCTGTGGCCTGTGGTTCTGTGAAATGCTTACGTCCATATGAGTGTTGTGCTCCTGAGAGCTTACATCTGAGAGTGAAAACGGTGAGGAAGAGTTTGGGATTGTAGTGCTTGAGGCTCCTGGCAAGAAGGTGGCTCTCTCACATGGAGTCTCTACCAGCTCGCTCAGAGCACTGTGTTTCAGTGGCAGAACCTTGGCTGAGGCAGGGCAGGGAGCAGCCTGGGTGGGAGGGTGAGCAGGACTTGAGCATGGATTGGGGCAGCTATTCGTGGAACAGATTTCTATTTGCTCCTCCTCAGACTCCACGGCATCTTGCTTGTGAGAAGAGCCACGGGAATGAGGAGGTGACCAGCTGTCCCTGGTGGAAGATCGTGGGGCTTCAGTGAGCGATTCAGGGTCAGAAGATGAGTCCTCAGCATCACCATACATGGAAGAGAGAGACGGCTCCGTACTGTCACCTAGGCCGGATAGGGAGGTGCTATCTTCGTGAAAACTGCTGAAATTTCTAGAATAGTTGCTCAAAAAGTTTTTGTTCACAGTAAAGTGTTTGTCAGGATTAATTGAGTCCAAAACTGAAGGTTGGGAGGCCCACTGAAGGTGAGGGAGCGGACCTGCAGCCCGGGCCCTCCTAGGGGAGGGTGTCTGACCTTCCATGACTTCTAGGGGCTCGGCAGGCAGGCAGCCCTGAGAACTGCCTTCCAGATTCCCCTCCTCTTCTTTCTGGGAAGACAGAGCCCTTGCCTCAGACACATCCAGCTCCCTGATGAGTCTGTCGATGTCTGTCACAGGGCTCTCTCTACTCCCCACTGGGCAACAGTGCCCTGAGACACTGCCACACACTCCTTTGGTCATGTCGGTAGATTGTAGCATAGAGAGGCTGGCCTGCGGTGCCCTCGAGGACACAGAATCTGTCCCCTCCAGGAGAGCAGACTCCTGGGGGTTCTCAGGTGCATGGGTTCCTGTTCTCAAAGCCTCGCTGTGGTTACCAGGAGCTCCCTGTCTCTTCTCCTGGGATGTGAGGTCGTCTCCTGATAGGATAGCACTAGATGGTGTCACTCCCTCTGCCCTGGGTTCTGCTCCCCTGAGAGCAGCTGCGCTCCTGGTGCTGGGGGTGCAGCTGGCTGCTGGAGCAGCCCTGCTCTTGCTGCAGTCAGGAGGAGCTGCTGTCTTCTCCCCTGGGGACAAGCTGCCCTTGAGGGCCAGTCTGACTGGTGATCTGCCCTTGGGCTTGGAGCCCACAGGGGACACAGGCTGACCAGGGTTCTGGAGGCCACCGACGTGCTCTGCACCTACTGAGGTCTTGCTGGGGTCAGGGTGTGCGGCCCCTGTCTTCCCTCGGGGAGGGGTGAGGTCTGGGGAGCTGTCCAGTCCTGTGTGGAAATGTAAACAAAAGGTGAGGCTGTAGTAGAGATAAGGGGGAAAATGTGAGAAAACAGGAAACCTTTCAATTGTTAAAAACCAGAAAATTATAAATAATCTCAATTTTTTTTTCTTTTTCAGAAAAGACATTCCATGCTCTAATATAGGCCTTCTTGTCTGTTTTTGTCCCTAAAACTACAGAGCACCCACCTCTAACAAATACCACCCTGTTTTAGATACTCTAAAATAACTCCGCTGACAGAAGTAATGTTTGGGTCTGCCTATTTTTTTTTTTTCTCTTTTGGTTATTATTAAGGACTGGGGACACCAGAAATCCTTTTCTTGGGTTTCTTTACATGAGCCATTCTCTGATGGCAAAAGAGCCATGGGGGTCAGGCTGTTGCTGTGTTTGATTCCTCAGTTTTTGCATGGATTTGGCAGAGGCCTCATGACTCTCTCATTCCCAGCATCTGTCCACTCAGGTGCAGGCTTAACCTTGTGCCATGGGAGGTGAGTGATGCGGTACTTAGGAGACTTCCTTTTTAGTGCAGTAGATGAGGCTAATTGGGGAAGACACACAGAATACTACAGATAGGATACAAGCCTACATAAAGCTGTAGTTGTCTTGACATCAGAGAGGGAGAGCTAGAAGGCCAGATTATCCTGGGAAGCCTTGACAGAGGAGGTGGGGACTCAAGTAGGTTCATAAGGGGTAATTTGGCCAATGAGGAGGAGAAAGGTGAGGAAAACAGTGGAAGAATTAATATTGTTAAAATCTCCACACCACCTAAACCAATCTACAGAGTCAATACAATCCCCATCAAAAATCCCAATGACATTCTTTACAAAAATAGAAAAAGCAATCCCAAAATTCATATGGAATCAGAAAAGACCATGAACAACCAAAGAAGTTTGAGGAGAAAAAAATAAATTGGAGGCATCATGCTACCTAACTTCAAAATATATACAAAGCCATAGTAACCAAAACAGCATGGGACTGGCATAAAAGCAGACACACAGAACAATGGAACAGAATGGAGTACCTGGAAATAAATCCATGCATCTATAGCCAACTCATAAAGGTGCCAAGAATACACATCGAGGAAGGGACAGTCTCTTCAATAATGGTGCTGGGGAAATTAGATGTCTACATGCAGAAAAATGAAACCAGAACCTTTTACCACATACAAAATATCAACTCAAAATGGATTAAAGACCAACTCAAAATGTAAGACCCAAAACTATGAAACTACTAGAAGAAAACACAGAAGAGATGCTTTAAGACATTGGACTAGACAAGGAATTTTTTGATAAGATCTCAAAAGCACAGGCAACAAAAGCAAAAATGGACAAATGGGATTATATCAAACTAAAAAGCTTCATATGTACGGCAAAGGAAATAGTCAACAGAGTGAGGAAACAACCCACAGAATGAGAAAGAATATTTGTAAAGTATGATCTGACAAGTTAATATCTAGAGTACATAAGGAATTCAGATAACTCAATTGCAAGAAACAAAATAATCCAATTTTAAAATGAGCAAAAGACCTTAACAGACATTTCTCAAAATGGCCAACAGGTATGTAAAAAAAAAAAAAAACTCACTATCACTGATCATCAGAGAAATACAAATCAAAACCACAATGATAGATCATCTTACTCCAGTTAGAATACCTATTATCAAAAAGACAAAAGACAAAGAGTGTTGGTGGATTGTGGAGAAAAGGAAACCCTCACATACTGTTGGTAGGAACATAAATTAGTACAACCATGATGGAAAACAGACAGAGGTCTGTTAGAAAATCAAAAATAGAACTACTATGTGATTCATCGGTTCCACTACTGGGGTATATATTTAAAGGAAATGAAATCAGCACGTCAAGGGATATTTGTATCCCTGTAGCACTATTCACAATGGGCAAGAAATGGAATCAACCTGACTGTCCAATGATGATTAAATAAAGAAAATAATGAGATGTGTACACAAAGGAATACTATTCTGCCATAAAAAGAATGAAATCCTGTCACTTACAGTAACATGGATGAACCTGGAATGACATTATGTTAAATGAAATAAGCCAGACACAGAAAGACAAATAACATGGTCTCTCTCACTCATTTGTGAAATCTAAAAAAGTTGATCTCATAGAAGTACAAAGTAGAATGGTAGTTACTGGGGGAGGGAAGGGAGCTAGGGAGTGACTGGTCAGCAGGTACAAAATGACCATTAGACAGGAGACTACATTCTGGTGATCTATTGCATGATAGGGCGAAATAGTTAACAATAAAGTAATGTATATCTCAAGATACCTAGAAGAGAGGATCTTGAATGTTCCTACTACAAAGAAATGACAAGTGTTTAAGGTGATACTCTAATTACTCTGATATGATCATTACACAATGCATATAACGAGGTCTGACAATTAAGTTTGCAAACTCATCCTAGAAAAAGTGCTACATACCTCATTGCTGAATATCACTATGGTCACCTTCGAAGTACTCCCCTTGGGAAGCTATGCACCGACGCCAGCACCTAGTCCACCCTTCAAAGCAATTTTGGAACTCTTTTTCTGAAATGACCATCAGAGCTGTCGTCGTACGGCACACAAAAACACGCAACAACAATAATGAACGCCACTCAGCAAGACACCGCCACCCGTCGACACAAACACAGCTGTTAGGCACTGATATACCATGGTTATGAAAGTTAAGTTACCCCTGAGATAGATTCCAAGAGCCACTCTGTTCTGGTGGGGCCTCCTCACAAGGCCCTGCATACTTTTGGGCTAATTTGTCCATCTATGGCACATAGCATCTCGCAAAGGGGGAAAAACTGACATAAAAAAGAACAAAGCTATTGTCTTAGAAGTACAGGTTTAAGGTTGGAGTGAAAAGCTCAGTCACATGAAAGCTCTTGGCTTAAGAAGTGAGTCTACCCCAAATATTACGTTCATTCCATATCTCTTACGCAGAATCACCTTAATTACATATTTTTTTCTTCCTGAAGTTTCTGTGAATAATTAAGAACTAATTATTAGGACTTAGCACTTTGCTGAGAGTTTTTCCAGTAATGAAGGATTTAGCATTATGCTAACAGTTTTCCATGCACTTAATTATCCTCCAATGCTGAAGTGGGTCTTGTGACCACCTGCATTAGGAGGAGGAACAGAAGGACAGGCAGTTGAAAAAGTGCCTGAGGCCACAGAGTTCATGGGTGGTAGAGTTGGGATCACCCTAGGAAGCTGGCTGTACAGCTCCATGCTGCCTAGCTGCCTAAATCCCGATTCTATGGATTCTGCATAGAGTGCCCTTGGCAATGGCAAGGTTGGATCATTAAGACACCCTGGACACTTTCCCAGGCCCACTGTGGAAGGCCAGGGCCTGCTAAGGTTCAAATCCATGTGCTCTTTGTGCTTTTGAGACAGAGTCTCACTCTGTTTCCCTGGGTAGAATGCTATGACATCATCAAAACTCATGGCAACCCCAGTCTCTTGGACTCAAGTGATCCCCTGGTCTCAGCCTCCCGAGTAGCTGGGACTATAGGCACCTGCCACAACCCTTGGCTAATTTTTCCATTTTTAGAAGAGATTGGGTCTTGCTTTTGCTCAGGCTGGTCTCTAGCCCCTGAACTCAAGCAATCCACCTGGCCTCAGCCTCCCAGAGTGCTAGAATTACAGGCATGAGCCACTGCACTCAGCGTTCTTTTTATTTTGTGAGCTCCCTTTAGCATAGCTTTCCCAATTGTGCTGTCACTGAATATGGGGGGAAGTAGTAAAGAGACAAAAGGAGGGGTTTAAAGGCTGTTTTTAAAAAATTTCACATTCACTCACAGAACAAACCCTAAGAGGCAATTTAGTTAGCAATTTGACTTTATTGCCAAGTATATGTTAATTTTATTTGAGGGAGATGAACTTACACTGAGACAGTCTTTGATGTCATCCTTCAAAATATCTTCCCTTTGGAAACCTTCTATAATAATGTCCAATCATGGGAGGAAGGTTGACTATACGAGGGCACAGCTCAAGTGGGAAAGGCCCAGGGGCCTTCCTAAGTGTTATAGGTATGGAAGGGTTTGGAGGGCTTTCGTGCAGTTTCCTAACTGGAGTAGACCACAAGTCGCTGACACCCAAGCCGTCAGTGTGCAGGAGTGCCTGGGAGGGCGGGTGTCAGTCACACAGCCTGTGGACCCCAGCAGGCTGTTCAAATGTTTTGTCTCGATGTTTGGGGTAAAAATGGGTGTTAGATCACTGAAGTCTTTTCTTGTTTGTTTTCCAAAAAGAAGAAGAAAAAAAAGCAGAGAATTGTGATTGACGTATTTGTTGTATACACATTCATACACCCACAGGAAGACTAGAAGGATATATACCAAAATGCTAATAGAGATTTCCTCTGAGACGTGGGTGAGACGTGGGTAGCATTTTAATGCTACCTTTTAAAATTTCTCTCTTGACTGTAATTTCCTAAGTGTTTATCATCAACATGGATTCCTTTCATAACAGTTATTTGAACATTTAGTGGCAAACAAGGAGCCTACACTTCCCACACCGCTGTAGGGCTTGTCTCATAACAGCTTTGACAGCTCCTGCAAAGTCCCCGCTTCCTGGTTTATACTATTAGAAGAGACAGCCAAACATTGCTAGAAAGCATTTAGGATCTAAAATCAGACCTCACAACCAACACATCTTGGTGGGCAATGTGCTCCTGTGTCAACAACAAGTAGATCTTCATTCCTTTCTAAACACTTTCTTAGGAAATGGGGTGTGTGTGTTTGTGTGTATGTATGTGTACACCAGGTATCCATAAAGTTCATGTGCAATTTAAAATTACGCACTATTTTAAATTGCACAGGAACTTTACAGACACCCTTCTCTTACTGAATGCATATTATATACTAGGCAGATCTATACATGCATATGTTTTCTCTTATGAAAATCACATGTACACACAAGTTATTGAACATATTAGGTACTAGTAAACAGTGTTACAAGTGCTACACATAAAAATGTCATTGATTCCTTCTAAATAACCCCATGAGGTGGGCAGCTGAGAACATGAGTAATTAATCCAGGTCACTTGTTTGGTCAAAGTTTGGAGCTCAGATTTGAACCCAGACACCCCTGTGCTTAACAAGTTGTATCTATCATTTTGGAAACTTAAAGAAGATTTTTTTTTTGAGACAAAGACTCAAGGTGTTGCCCTGGATAGAGTGCTATAGCGTCATAGCTCACAGCAACCTCCAATTCAGGCTTAAGCAAGCCTCTACCTCAGTTTTTCTATTTTTAGTAGAGATGGGGGTCTTGCTTTTTGCTCAGGCTGGTCTCGAACTTGTGAGCTCAAGCAATCTACCCACCTCGGCCTCCCAGAGTGCTAGGATTATAGACATAAGCCACCATGCTCAGCCAGGAGGCTCAGCTTTTTTAAGTAAGGTGCTCTTTTTTGAATAATTCATTTTTGGATATTACAGTTAAAATAGGCTATGTTTTGACGAATAACCTTCCTACACACTGGAAACCACTAAACTATGTAGAATAAAATTGGAAGACGAGCTGCTGCCAGAAGTCAAGTTGTCAGCAGGACCAACTGGTCACAGACAACCTTTCAGTTGGGATGATGAGAGAAAAGTCTACAAAAAGGAGACAGAGGCTCTAAAACTTTTTAGGGATCAGGCAGTGTACAGGGTATCCATAAAGTTTGCGTGTGATTTACTATGTTAAACTATTTTAAATTTCACACCAACTTTATGTCCCCATGTATTATGTTGGGTCAAATACTTCTGATACATCCCACAAGCTATAGAGGGAGCCAGTGTGCCACTGCAACTCAGGGCTCAGGGCTCACAAGGAGGACCCTTAACATTCAATAATTAAATAACCAAATAACCAATAGCGTGTTTCAATATTTTAAGTATATGGTGATTAAGTATAGTACAATTAATATTATGTATGTGGTACTAAATATAATTAGTTCCTGGCACTAGTATTTAGTGTTTGCCAAGGACACACAGTTACTCCTTTCTCATGGCTTATTACCTGTAAGAAGTCCAGAAGAGGGGGGCAGAAAAAGTCCAGAGGAGGGGGACAGATACCTGCAGCACGTTGGGATCACTGGGGTCCCAGAGGTGCACAGAGTGCTGCGGAGCACGGGCAGGGGGGGAAGGAGCCTCAGTTCTCTCTACACTGAATATGACACAAGACAACTTGACAGGTATAAACCCATTTACTTTAAAGTATGAACTGTCAGTATTCAGAAAAACTTGCCTATCTAGAATAAGAAACTGCTCAAGTGGTGAGAAAGGAAAGAATTTTCTGCACAAGGTTACAAATTAGGATGATGTTACTGGGCGGAGGGCGGGGGGAGTGTCAGCTCCCTTTCAAAGCAAATACACATTCCAGGAAAACTAGTGGATTTCCATGTAGAACACACCTCCTAAAATGTCTGAAGATGCTGGCCTCAACTGATGCCTTACTTTGAAAGGTGACATCAGAGACTACCTCAATGTAACGTCATCTTCTTCAAATAAGATCCCTTTGAGTTGCGTGACTTTGCAATAAAGTCAGATTGTTAGCAAATATGGATTCGTTTGTTCAGTGAGTGAGTGTGAACCCGAGCGACAGAACAGAAACCACAGCAACAGCCTCATCAGTGACTGAGGAACAAAGAGCCTCAGATCCACGACAAACACATCAGGGGCCTGTATTTTTTTTTGTGAGCAACCATGAAGGTATGGGGTGATATTCTAGGGTTTCAAATTTATAATTTGTAGGTCACCCCCAACAAGGGAAGCGACCTTCTTTCTCTTTACTACCACAGTCTGCTAACCCATCAGAAGGCAAGCGCTGTGACAGGGAACGGATGACTACAGACAGCAGCAGAGTACGGCCAAGACCCCAGCTTGACTTGCGGGATCACAGTGGTCACCAGCCACTGAGAAAAGGGTCTCCTCCCTTCAGAGTACAAATTTAGAGTCCAAATTTTTAATAAAGATCATTAACAAGGAAGTGAAGTCACTTAATTGATTTGAAAAAAATCACGTTTTGCAGTATTATTTTGTACAACTACTCGATGATGGGAGCCAAACAGATACTGAGATGATTTCTGTTTCCATGATGTCACTCCATCCCTTGTCAATATTTCAGTATCATTTTTCAATATTGTTTTACTTTTCTTTTCGGAGGTTCTTGTTGCCATTTCTCAGTGCATTCGATTGGACATAAGCAGAGTGTTGGGAGTCTGAGTCTGAAGGGTGGGACAGTCTTCTGACTGACCTGTGTCTTTCTCATTGGTCTCAGAAAATGGGCAAATAGTGTTGAATGACTGAAAATGGATGTACTCAACATGGAATTAAAATTACAAGTTCAGGCACAATGATCTAGTAAAGTTGTTAAATGCAGGCAGCACTGACCTCTTAATCATTTCTATAGAAGTCTCTAGAGTCTCCCCCTCAATATTATCCACGTGTAATGCTTTTATTAGGGAATCTACCCTCCTATCTTTCCACTTAGTGAATGGAAAAATAATCTTACCCGTCACAGGTTGTTGCCCCTGCCCCTGATCTGCTGGTGCAGCTTTGGGCAGGTTCTCTGTGAGGTGGCTGGCGTCCGAGTGGGACAGAGCACTGGCTGATCCACAGTTGGTTGGGACACGAGCATCCGGGATGGTCAGCTTTCCCAGAGACTCCTAGCACAATGGCAACCATAAGTCACTGGAAATAGCCTTTGGGTTTTTTGCATTATAAGACAACATCATCGTATACAGAAGAGAGTTGGTTTGGGAAAAATCAAAAGAGCCCTGGACTAGGAGCCAGAAGACCCAAATTCTGGGTTTAAGGTCTACTAGGCATTGCGAGGTCTTGTCCCTTTTCCCTAAGCTTCAATTTTCTCAACTAAAACAAGGATGTGTAAAACATGCTCAGTCTTACTACTCACAGAACTTAAATAGGATTAAATGAGAACAGCTGTAAAATCAGCACGCAGCATATAAAAGGCTGTACAGATGGAAGGTATTATTGTTACTATCTTGCATAGAGATGATCGCAACTGTAGTTCGGTAGTGAGGGAGAGGACCAATCTGGATAAATGGAAATGACATTGAGTATTTCGAGACTTCACTTTGGTCAAGTGTCAGTTTTGACTTAATTCAAGCAACTGGCACGTGACCTGGCCAAGGGAAAAGAATCTGAGTTTAAACTTTATGCCCCAGCCCAGGCCATCAGTAAGGCGACACTTCCTGCTTCTCCCCTGTGGCTCACATGTGTTCTGTGTGACAGTTTCAAGTGTTAACATGTATTACCTGAAGTTAAAAAAATACAGTGGTGAAGGTGAAAGTGTATTGACTGCCATTTAACTAAAATTATACACTGCATTTACAAAGTTGTTCTATAATACAGTAAGACTAAGGTACAGTAAGTGAAGTTGGTCTTAATTTGCTTTTAATTAGTGTATTTCCATATTAGTATCAAGTCAATGCAGAGTTCATGGTATGGTATGGAATACAGTATGGGTGACAGAATCTGTTAGGCCTATTTTTAATAGTAACTCTTAAGCAACCAGAAATGACATTTATTTAGAGTCTACCAATCCCCATGGGTGCTAGATGGTGGGGAGATTACTGTTACCTTCCTGTCTTCTGATACTTACTGCAAAGAAATTTTAAAACTTTACCATGAAGTTAAATCAGATTTATTTGAAATGTATCCATTGAGTTAATGAGTCATAAAGTGGCCCAACGATGGCAGCAGAGGAAAGATGTGGAGGGGACAATATGCCTTTAGCAGCTTTTGTTGAGAGTCATTTTTGTAAAATGTCAATTGCTGGCTCAGGGACACCCACAGAGTTTGCCTCAGTTAATCTTCTATTACTATGTAATAGAAAAGCACGTATGGAACAGAGAGTGGAAGAGTTTGAGAACTAGACAGAGGTGGTAGGTTACACTGCTTTGTGAACGTACTAAGGACCCTCGAATCGTACACTTTAAAATGGTGAATTTATTTTATCTGAATTTCACCTCAATTTTAAAAATAAAACAGAGGACAACCCATTTGCTAGAAGAGAGAGGGTCTTTTTTTTTTTATTTGAACAAAGTCTCACTCTGTTGCCCTTGGTAGAGTGCTGTGGTGTCATAGCTCACAACAACCTCCAACCTCAAACTCTTGGGCTCAAGTGATTTGCCGATTAGCTGGGGTTTTTTTTTTGTTTGTTTTTTGACGACAAATACTTTGTGGCAATGCTTCTATTTTCTTTCTCATATATAAATAAAATCATCAAATTTCAGACCTAAAATTTTTATGAAAAAAATTAAAATCTCCTGTACAAAAGCCTTAAATGCTGCTCAACAGTAATTGGGAATATGAATTCAGAATTACAAAAATTCTTACTTTAATAGATAAAAAGTTTTATGAATAAAGATACTGATTTGGCTTTATATCTAAAATTTGATAGTACTTACTAAGAGAAGGAATTTACTCAAAGGTCAAACATTTTATTTTATATATATATATGTATGTATGTGTATTTTTTTTTTTTTTTTTTGTAGAGACAGAGTTTCACTTTATCACCCTGGGTAGAGTGCCATGATGCCACAGCTCACAACAACCTCCAACTCCTGGACTTAGGCGATTCTTTTGCCCCAGCCTCCCGAGTAGCTGGGACTACAGGCGCCCACCACAATGCCTGGCTATTTTTTTGTTGCAGTTCAGCCGGGCCGGGTTTGAACCTGCCACCCTTGGTATATGGGACCCCCGCCCTACTCACTGAGCCATAGGCGCCGTCCCTAAACATTGTATTTTAAAACATTTGTGATGGCTGGAGGTAAAAATATGATTTTTGCAGATGATAAAAAAAGGTGTGCATTTCTATTTAAAGAAAAAAGATTTTAAAAAAGGGATTTCTGTTTAGTATAGTTTTTATGACTTAACATTTTCTGGGTTTATTTACGTGTTTAAATAAGCCACTTGAACACATATCTTTATAAACACAGCATTACAAGTTATATCTAACTTCTCTGCTCAGAGAGAAAAAAATTACGTTGAAGAAATTATAAACAATACTAATTTCTCTTATTCTCTCCTTGCTAAAAGATATATTAAAAATTTTTAAAAATGAACAATTTGATAAGTCTTACATACTTGTAACCAAGTAGTATAAATAATATTAACTTGCATTTAACGTGCATTATCCGTTTTTAAGTGAACGAATCCCCATTATTTCATGAGATACACAAGGTTGTGAGTAGCTATAATTACACATAATCACTATAGAAATATTTTTAAAAATAGGCATCACTTAAAACCTCACCAGCTGGAGAGAACCACCATTAGCCTGTGTTTTATGGTCACCCCAACTCTGTGTGCGGACCAAGGCAGAGAGCCAGCCCAGAGGACTGATGCTCAGCAAAGTTTAGTAACTCTTCCAGGTCGTGACTCAACCACTGCTATAACTAATCAGTGGAAGAACTGGTACCTGGCCCAGAGTTCCACTTTCCCCGGGTCACACTGCCATCCTGTCATCACCATAGGCCTTGTGTATAGGTAAGAGAACCATTATATCTTTAGCCAAATGATCTCATGGCTGAGATCCTGCTGATGTGTTAATGAGCTCCCAGCAGGCCGTGTGTTTAAGTGCATGACTCTGCTGAAAGATAATTCTCATTCATCACCTTTCCCTCCAGGCAGGTTAGCCCACGCTTTACCACTCCATGTTCAAGTCACACGATATTCACCTCAATTCAAAGTGACTAAGAAAAAGTCAGTTACCTTCTCCATGGTTCCACCTGGCTGAAAACTAGGAATGGTCACTTTGATGGAAGTGGCTGGGACTTTCAAGTCAAGACTGCATGGTTCACTGGCTCTGCTGGTCAGGTTCACTGTCCCAGAGCTGCTGGGTCTGGCTTCGGATCTCTTGCAGTGAGGGCTGACCCTAGCCACTGGTCGGTGTCTGGACCCCAGGCCCTCACTCTTCTGCTGGGGGGAACCAGGGCTGTCTGTGCTCATCAGACTCGGACTCTGGGTGTCCTCATGGACTTTGTATTCCAGTTTGGGTGAACTACTTGATCCTGACAGCTCCTTCTTCCAAGGGCCACCAGCACCTCCTTTGGGAGTCTCTGCAGAGTCTAGCAGGTTGGCTGCATGGGAAGAAGTGCCCACCATATCCTCTGGGGCCCTGTCCTCTAGGTCCACTGAGCTGCCGAGGAGAGGCGCTGAGCAAGCCTTGCTGACCAGTGTTTTCCGGGGTTGTTGCTCTTGGTTGTTGATATCCGTGACCTTGGAAGAAGTTAAGGTGTGCCTAGAGTTGTCCTCTGTGAGAGACCTCCTGGGAACTGGAAGGGCCCCTGAGAGTGAAATGCAGTCTCCATCAAATTCTTCCTCATCACTGGCATCATTGGCATCATAGCAGCCCACCTTCCTCTGACGGAGGAGAGGGTTTCGGAGGACCTGTGGGCTTCCAGGGAGACTGGCTTGTCTGGCCACTGTCACCTGCTTGTGTAAGAGCCCAGAGGCCCGCTGGCTTCCTAGAGCCACAAGGCTGTTGGCCCTGGCTTTTCCTGGCTCCTTGTGAGCTGGAAGGGTGGGGGGAGAAAAGTCAAATGGAATTGGGTTTTCCTGGTCTCAAAACCTGATCCCATCTTTACATCATTACACACAAATTCTGTGTTCACTCATGGCAGACACACAAGCTCCCTCCACTGGACCCCAGTCTTAGAAAATACATGTATGGCTTCTTGGGAATGATATAGAATGGGTAGCCAGCTTCTCTCTCTTTTCTATAATGGCCTTAAGTTTTTTTTTCCTTTGTCTTAAGCCCCAAATTCTGGATTTTTTTTTTTTTGATAGAGTCTCACTATGTTACCCTTGGTGGAGTGCTGTGGCATCACAGCTCATAGCAACCTCAAATTCTTGGGCTTAGGTGATTCTCTTGCTTCAGCCTCCCAAGTAGTAGGGACTACAGGCACCTGCCACAATACCATTTTTTGTTGCAGTTGTCATTTAGCAGGCCCTGGCTGGGTTCGAACCCACCACCCTTGAACATGTGGCTGGCACCTTAATCACTGTGCTGCAGGCACAGAGCCAACTTCTGGATTGTTTAACCTGAATGTGTACTTTATGGAGCCAGAAACATGTCATTTGATGTCATAAAAGTCAAGACCTTATGCAAATGACACTGAAAGGAGGTCTAGTTTGGCCATCATCAATCCCTGAGGACAGATCATATGCCTGGCCTACCTACTGCATAACTGAGCGGCCAGTCATTAGTAGGAGCTGCATTTTCCAAGAATAAATTCTGTATTTGGTCAGTGTACAAAGATGGCATCTACTCAACTAGAGGCATAGTGTCTAGTTCTTTTTTTCTGTTACAGTACCAGGGAAATTAAACCACCATGGCCTCCAGTGTATTGGTGGGAACTAGCAATTGCTTACTGGAATGCGGAGCCCAGGGCCCTTGAGGGCTCCCCTGCTTACTGGCGGGGCCAGGGGGTAGGCTGCCATCCTCTGATGTGCTGCAGCCACTTCCTGGGTGGTCCTCATCCTCAGAGCCAGCCACCATGAAGTCTGACAAGGGATGCGGGACATCGTGGGCAAAGTACTGGGAGAGTTCAGATTCAGAAACAAGGGAGTCCTGGTGAAGAAGAAAACGTCACATGACTGAGGTGTACCAGGAGCAGATTCCCATGGCAACTGCTTTCTATCGTTCCAGAACACTTTTCTTCTCATTCATGGTCGTCTGACACAGCGTGAGAGTGACACTTCCCTTTACTTAAAGTTGGTTAAAGGAATTACTAATGAGTGAAAAGGTGACTGTGGCTACTAGTGTTATAGGAGGGTTTTTCTTTTTGTCAAAGTTTTGGCAATGATCAGAAAAGCTATAGCAGCAGTAAACCAAGCATCCCAGGAAAACCCCCAGGGATGGGGTGGGAAAGCACAAAGTAATTCCAAGCCACCCACCCAGCCAAGGGATGGGCCCAAACCAGGGGAGTTTCAATCCTGCACCCCAGTCCCCTGGGATTTAGGAATACCCTAGCTGAGGAAGGTGCCACAGTCTCCTCAAAGTCCCAAGAACTGATTGGAGTCATGTTATTAAGGAGTAGTTTGAAAAATAACTTTTCAAACTATAGTTCAGTCCTTTTGTTCTGTCACTCCATTCTTTTCCTGAATATTTAATAAAAGAAACACACATTTGTGTATTTGTTATCAAGTGGGCATTGTTACTATTTCCTGCATGAAGTGGCAAAAATGACCCCCTGGTAGAAAGTAGGATTAGGTCCTCAGGGACTCCAGGAATTGGTTTGTGGTCCAGCCGAGTGAGGTAGGTAGCAGTATGGCTTGACTCACCTTTTTTGTAAGAGAGGGACTCTTCAAAGGGGTACCTGTTGGGAGGAAAATTCACCATATTGTCAAAACAACGAAGCTCACATCACAGGCTGATACCCTTAACCAGAAAAGGGTAAGTCAAACCTACTAAACAAAACTCTCTTTGCTTGTCTGGCACTGAGGGAGTGTGCACAGGTGTGGACATGGGTTCTGTCTACCTGGGTACCTCATCCTCATCCTCATCCCCCTGCCACAATTCTGCAGATGTTTTGAGCCCTAACTTGGATGCTGCTACCCACATGATGATCTCAATTGGAAGGAATTTCTTTTTCTGATTTCCCAAAGTATTTGATCCTACCCACATATCAATTTCCATACACAGGTATAATTTCATTATGGGTGGATGTGTCTCATCTCCCTTCTTCAACTGTTTAACCATCTACAGAGCGGAGACGTTGACCAATCTGACCTCACAGTGCTGGGCCCTAGAGCTGGTCTATTGGTGATATTTGCTGAAAAGACTGCAGGATGAATGAACAAATGAATATCACCTAAGGAACTCAGGAGAAAAAAGGAGAGGGTTGAATATCTAGGTTTTAACTGAAGGATGAAAAGGTTCAGAATTTGGACTTTAAACTCTATGCCATGAGCAAAAGAGACCTTGGGGATAGGATCACGGCTTACTGAAATCTTTTATAAATGACAGAGTGGCAATGTGCGATTATGAAAGCACAGCTTTCAGGCAGGTCAGGATAACGAACTGGTTGAATAAAGAGCCTATTATGGCCATGCCCCCTTTAAATACATTCATTATGAATGCAGATAATCAAGGTAGTTTATGGTTGCCAAAAACCCCTGTGCCTGCCTTTTCCTCTGACAGCCAGTAACTCACAGCTCAGTTCCTTTTCCTTCTGGACATCATTCTGAACATCAGTAAATCTCGAGCTCAGAAATGTTCTGAAGGCTCCCTTCAGGCTTCCATGCGTCAGGAAACATTAGTTTTAAAGCTTAACACCATGTTTAATTTTAAATTCATATGAAATTCTGACTATCTTGATCTTCCTCTGCCCAAACTTTTCCACTTAAGAGAGGGAACTCAGGATTCTTGCTGTCTGTATTACCTTCTCTGAATTGAAACTTTTAAATTCATGTAAAGAAATCTCGGCTTTTGGATGGGTAATGTAGCCTGTATCTACCAAACTGCCGATCTGGTATTTTGGTTGTTTTCCTTTCGTAGATCCTATAGCATTTCAGATGAAGAAACACATGAAATGCTAAGTCACTTTTGCAAATTATTTGAAAGTTGTACAAGCAGCATCGTGCATGATTATAGCTTTAATGACACTAAGTAACTGCCCAAACAGAAGGAGCAGCCAAGAGAATGCACGGACTCTCAGTGACAGATACTTTCGGCAACCCTGGTCATTACACAGAGCCCAACACCGCCTCCTGGGAGGTTCCTGGGGAGGAGAGGGGGGAAGTGTCATGAGAAACTACTGAATATTGAATGAAAACATGCAGTTACTGTACCTGAGGCAGGAGAGGAACCGGCCTCTTTGCTCTCCTGGTAAGTGCTGCGTGCTATCACTTCATCCATTTCCTGCTCGGAAACCTGATTTTCAGCAGAAAGCACAAATTAGATGGGTTTAGAATTTCCCCCAATGAAAGTAGCAAGAACCAGAGTGAGAGTTGGGTGCAGACAAAGAGGCAAACCATGGGGTCAAAGATTGTGACTATCCTCTGAAGCAATAGCTCAGGGCAGGTGAGAACAGAGGGTGGGTTGTGCATTGCTTCGAACAATGTGTGTATAACAAGACCTTTAATAGGTTCCCAAGTTCAATGTGCAAAGCATTCGGGTACTGTGATTACCAACGTGGGTGATACCTGCCTCTCTCTGGAACACTCACTTCTAATTCTTTTTTCTTTTTCTTCTTCTT